TGCCGTCGAGTGGCGCATCAAGAGTGGCATGACCACGGACATCAGAGCTGCGAGACTCACTGGCAACCTCGCTTGACAGTTTGGCAATGCCACGGCAAGAAGAGCAGCAGCAAGACGTCGTCGCCTCGCCGACAGGCAGAGATGGTGTCGCGGGTACGTCTCTCTGTCCGGACTCAGCACACGGCCAGTCCGAGGGCTGTAGGCCGGGGGAGACAGAAAGCAGCTCGCAATACCTCGCCGGGTCATCACATCACACCGACTACGGGTTTTCAAAGTAGCCGCTCCAAGCTGCTCTTCACCCAACATGCTGCCGGCCAGGACTGTGAACATTGAGTAGGCGTAGTCAGCTATTGCTCCTGGGAACAATGAGCAGGTGTTCTTACGTACACGGCAGTCTTGTAGGAAGTTGAGGCTGTCCGACTTGGGACACCACAGTCCCGGCCCGCATCTTGGCAATGATTTGCGGCAAGACTGCAAGACTAAGAATCGTGCGTCGTGTGAGTTGCAGGGGCCCAGGAAGCGGGAAGCAGGTTGTGCAATAGCCATCACAGAATCACCGGGAGCGACAGCTGATCAAGAGCAGGGCCGACATAGTATGAGAGGCTGAACAGTTTAGCAAGAGTCCAGCTGTCGGCTGCCATGCCGCAGCTCTGCCGCCCAACGTTTCTTCGACCGCATCTAAGACCAGACGTCGAAGTTCACCTTAGAATCAAAGAGGGGTATCGGACATGAAGCACTATGCACGAGACCACAAGACAAGCAGAGCTGCGACCTGGCCTTTGCATTGCTCATCTTTCTGATGTGCTCGCACTAAATCTGCCTGATGAGCGAAAGGCAGCGGCAGCGGCAAATCAGAGTGCCCAGATGCCATGGCGAAATCATTGCTCTACAAGGATTTAGAAACCTGACATCCCATTTGGATTTGTGCTTAACGGCAACTGTCGGCTGGCAACTACAGGCGTAGGACTTCATCGTCTGCGAGCGTGAAATACCTCGCGGAGAAGCATATTTACGTTCAACTGCCGCACCCGCTTTGAATCCACATGCACGCACAAGCGCTGAGCTGCAACAACCTGTGTTCATAGCTTTTTGCTTTGCAGGTGCG